GTTGTGGTTAAGATACAGTCAGAGGTACCTTAAGTTTACTTTGGTTCTTAAGGTCTTTTGTGCAACTGTTAAGGGATCTTTAAGGGATTCCTTAAGTATATGACCAAGATAAGGGGAAAAACCTAAATACCTAAGTGAACATTTTAAAGAAACCTTAAAGAGAAGACTTAAGGGTGTTTTATGCAACCAGCTCCAGGTCTTTATATGTTGAACATACCCAATAGCATTTATTGCAAGTGGAATAATACATTTCAGCCTGGTAGCTTCCAACATCTCATATAAAGTAAATATCTAGAAAATTCTATAGCTGACAGCAAAAAACAGAAACAGCAAAGAAAGTCGGGTTCGAACCACAAGTGTGTACAGAACTGCCAGTGTGTTATGCACATGAATAGTGTGTCGTTCATACCCCAATTACTGAAATGTGTTGCATGCACTCTCACACGTCATATATGAAAGGACCTATGCTATGATGGCACACACCGCTGTGAGAACACGGGCCATCATGGACCAGAAGGCATGTAAATATTTGATGATGACATCATTGAAACCACAAACGGCCAACCAGAACATGCATTTAACAACATCTGGGACGAGGTTTGAATAGCAGGCAGGCCAGTGGCGTTCCAGCAAAGACCTTTCACGCAGGAAGTTCCCTGTACACTTGTCAGACGAGTTGCACTGGATGATATAGCAGCAAAAAAAAAAAATGAATGTCCAGATCCAGCAACAGTCAAGGCAAATCCCACACGTGTCAGCACTGAAACAGCGGCAGAGGAAATTACAAAACCCTGCTGTAAACCACAGTAGCCGACCGCCGGCGATGTGCAGACATGGTGCGAGAAAGAGAAATAAAACTGGACAGTGCGATTTGCATTAAACATGATGAGAAAGGGCTTTTTAAAATGCCAAACTATCACAAGCAGTACTCACAAATCAACTCCACATCTGACATTTTGTTGGTTTATAATAAAGGCAATTTATTATCTCCAGGTTTAAATGTATGCAGTTGTCACCAGCTTTAATACATTTAATTAAAAAAAATAATAAAAAAATAAGCTCCAGATAAAGGTAAGATAATGGCATAATTTACATTAATGTTTTAGGAATCAACATGATGTATATTAGTAGCTGGTAAATTTTCAGTGGTCCAGGTGCTGACAGCAGTTTGAGTGTAAAGCATCTCTCCCAGGGGCCCCACCTGCACGCCCTCACACCTACCCTGCAGGGTGTGAGCTCAGGGCCCCGCCGGGGGGCTGCGACCCGCATGGCGAACCGGCTCCTGCTGGAAACTACAGCACAGTTTCACAACAGCAATTAAAATATATTTTACACAACTGACCAATAAAGTGTAGCAAGCTTCTAAAAATAACACACACCAAAATAATTAGGGGGGATAAAAGAAACACCTGGGCATGTGCCGTCATTACAGGAGCAAAAAAAATAATAATTAATGCCAAATCTGTCCACCAAAAATGACATGATCATAATACAGATCACGTCCGACACCATCCACGTGCAGCTTCCTGGACTAATCATCATCATTTACATGTACAAGTCTAATATTTTAATAAGGTTAACTGCAGGGGAAAAAAGCAACAGGAAACAGGAAATAAGAAAGAAAACGCATGTTACAGCAGAGCTGGGAGGCTCAGAGAATCCTCATAATGTATTACGCCAGTAAGAGACCAGCTCCAAACCCACAGGTGGCCAGAGAAGGAGGGGAGGCAAAGCAGCCTCCGCCTGGGTCCCCCCTGTGGGGCTGGGACCCGCACTGAAGATCTTACAACAGAGAGAGCAATTACTGAGTGCTAAAGCTGTGTCAAAGGCCTGGTCTCTCCTCCAGGCCAAATAGGATCCTTCTGGGCCAACGTCCGGCTGAAAGCGCGAGAAACAGGCACTTTATAGCTGCAGGTAGCGGCAGACTGCGGGGAAGCAGCCCGGTAATTACACAAGCAAGTCAAACAGACTAATCATACCAGCCCAGCCAGCAATTAAGCTAATGAGATGCAGGGAAGAGCCCTTATTTGCATACGACACATATGCGAAGGCAGAAGCGAATGGAAGGCGGCCGCAAGGTTGAGAGCGACCCGTGATTGTGGCCCAAACAGATATGAAACGTCCAAATGTGAATTAATCGTGAAACTGCTTTAGCTTAAATTTTACAGTTTGCTTTTAAACGCCGTTTGGTCCCTTGGACGCTGTGCGAGTGCAGCACGATTCCAGATGGGGCTCATGTTGAGTGGCCCAGGGCAGTGCGTCAGATCCAGGGATTCACAGCTGGTCAGGGCCCGGTTATGCCAGCCTGGCAAGGGGGAGAGGGGCCCCATTTCCACGGGCCTCAGGACTGCCAGTCCCACGAGGGCCCTGAAAAGGCTGCTAGCTGGACCCAGATCCCCCTCGTCTCTGGCCGCCACTTTGAGGGGACGCCAAACAGCAGAGATTGTGATGTTTTATCAAAAGGACGGAAGGCGAGTCAAAGGGGCCTTTATTAGCTCAAAGCTAACCTCCCAAGTCTGGGAAAGCTGTGTCCCCTCTATCAAACCCCAGGGCAAATGAGCGAAAACAACACACACTCACTGCAGAAAAACCATACAGAAAGCACATCTATCAAGCATAAGCCTTTCTGCAAATTCAAAATAAGCAGACTCCAATGCAAATGGTACCGATTCCCTCTACAGCCCTTACTGGGGCAGAGAGTGGACTGGCCTTTATGTCCTTCACCCAGTTCTCAGTGTGAAAACTGAGACAATCCCAGATTTCAGTGCGGTAAACTCCCCCGCTCTCATAACACAGCCAACCAATAGGAAGGATTTGAGTTTTCCAGGGGAATATAATAAGGCATTTTGCATACGAATACTCAGCTTTTAACCAGGTCATCCATACCTCACTAGTACTGAAGTTCCAACTCTTTAAGACAATTTAAAATGTTACTTCACAAAGGCCACACTGAATACAGCAACTTGATTAAACCACTTCAGTGCTCACAACAGACTTTAAAATTTAACTACACCTCACTATCAAAATATCGCCTTCAAAATGGGCAAAGATGTCTTTCCTGCCATTTGCAATTAAGTCCACAAGAAAAACTATTAAAACAATCCCTTTTTCAAAACCTCTGAAGCCCTGCAGGTACCAGCAGTCAAAAAAGATTGGCTGGTGAATGCCGGAAGCAGCTGAAGGAGCTTCTGCAGAATCTCTCTTAGCAACATCTACATATTACTTGTCCTGTATTTTTCAGCACAGGGCAGTTCAAGCACAAACATCGAACTGGACAAAGCGACTTGCAGTTATGCATTTCTCCACAGCAAGGCACTGCACCCTCTTGACTAACGGACACTCCCCACCCCTTTCCACACACTGGCGTTGGTAAAGGATGCGTCTGAAAGACGCCTTTATTTTGACAAGCTGTGACCCAAACTCATCCTCTAACGGTTCCAGTCTGATAACCGAGAACTAACAGCCGATGTCTGTCCCAAGGCTGATTTCAGTACATTGTTAACTGGCTTTCAACTGCAACGCAGGGTCGGGCTGTGCCAATGCTTAGTCATGCTTATTATAGAGCGCCGCAGCAGTGGGCTCAGCAGTTCGGGGACTTATAGCAGGACACGTGGGCTGACACCCTGAACCTGAGAACCAGCAGCGGGGTCATACTCAGGTGATGAAAATGAAGTACATCTGCAAAGTTTCTACCAGCAGGATCACTCGAGCCAAACAGTAAACGTGCAGATGCATACTTCGGGGAGGAGCAAACGAACACCAAACGAAGAGCGAACAAACACCAAACG